TCCTCCTTTCCTCTTGTTCATCCCATTTTCTTCCTTTCTTTGGATTATCCTGATTAAGACAATGATTTGGTTTCCATATCCGGTGCTTCTTGATTTGAGCCTAAATCAAGAGGCCTCTCGGCTTACTTTTTATAGGAAAGGAAAAATATAGGTAGTTTTGACCCTCTTCCATCCGGTTTCAAATTTTAATTATTAAACGATTCCCATTCCTTTTATGTTGAGAGAGGCCGAGAGTACACTGAGAAAGCTTGTGCTTTAAGCATGGAGAAGATGTAGATAGATATGGATCACACTGTCAACATCAGAACTCCGATTGCCTTGGTTCATCCGTCTACAACTAAAAAGAACAAAGTGTGGATATCGTTTTGGTGCAACAATTGCCTTGGTTCATCCATCTACCACCCCATGCGATCGATCCCACCTCCCACATTGTCCAACGGGCGAGCGAGAAAAGGAAAGGAGCGAGCGAGAAAAGGAAAGCCCGTGATTTGTCTCCTTGATTGAATATTCCATGTTTGCAAAATAGAAAGTAGAAAATTATTGTGCCATCCATATGCACATTACATATTTGCATGCACCAGCATACATGGCAACGAGTAAAAGGAAAGAGAATTAACACAGAAGGAAAGAAAATTAAAACAAAAGGAAAGACAGAGACTGCTATCAATCCTCTGCTATAAATCTTGTGGCCTCGCCATAGCGCCCACCCTCGCCAGCTTAGCTCGCCCTCGCTCGCACCGGCCTTTGCCCTCGCGCCCTCCCTCGCCCATGCTCTAACTTGTACATTTTGATTAATTGGACATTATTTTTCCGTGATTTATTGATGAATATTTAAACAAGATGCTCATAGATTAGCCAAACAAGCTTGATAATTTGCTTCTCAATCTTGTACTTCTACCTGTGAAAAAATAGTTATTCTGGTGTTTCTATAATGTATTAGGGCAGTCACAATGCTATACCTATTAATTTTCATAGACACTACATATAGAAATCATGGTCCTAATGGATAGTTTCTACAGAACAATTTTTTATCCAACCACATATATTCTCTCTCTCCATTTTTTACCAATCACATCCCTTCATGCCTTGGTTCTCGTGTAGACATGTCCCAAGAATCTGATATGTGTCATGATTTTAGAATTACATGCTACTCCCAGGGCTGGATGATGAGCAGATGGTTTCTTTGTGCCTAAACTAGTTGCACGGAGCAGTGAGGTCCTGGGATTATGCAATGGGGAGGTTGTATAGTTTGGAGAGGATGGTTTAGAAGCAGAGCTTGTTGAAATCGAGTATGGAATGATGCTTACATGGTGTTGAAAACTTTAGACATTCAGAGGTTGGCTGGAACTGGATGGTGCTTGGGAGGTAGTAAAACTGACAGCCACCGCACCTCAATGAAGAGTTGATGATTGATTTTGTGAAGCAAATTTAAAAACCTTTGTGTTATAAGGGGACAAAACTTGAATTTGTGATTTCTGAGCAGATAATTTCTCCTTGCGAAAGTGTTTCTAACTAATTCAGAGTGGACCAATGAATCTACGAAAAATTACTTTCTCAATTCCAACTTATATGACGCTTTGGCTTTTCTAGATACATAACTTTTTTTATATACTTAGATATACATAATTCAAACAATATATCTAGAAAAACCAAAATATCTTATAATTTTGAACTAAGAGAGAAAATTCCAATTATTATTTTATAGTGAATTAGCTTATATCCAGACACAATGCATGAAAATGATATATTTTGAAGTTTACCTTGGACATCATCATCTTAAAAAAACTAGGAAGAATCAAATATACAATTATGATAACCTCTAATTTACTTTTATCTGTCGCTTATAATAATAATACATATGATTTAACCATTTCTATATATTGTTGATGGTGAATCTTGCCATAGACACTCAAGTGGATACCTTATTCTACAGTATATGTCTGCGTGAAATAGTCCTAAAGCCACACATATTTATACGGTGAATATAACATACTTAAGGTATTATAAGAGATTTTTCAAGACACGCAGTATTACCCATGTGACAGGAATTAATATTTATATATATACTCAAACTTGTGTATAGGATGGTATGAAGATGCGGCAGAACTTATTCATGGATTTATTGGCATACGAAAAAAATAGATATCGGAGATTTCTTTCTATCGATATAAAACATTATTTTAGTCGCAACATGGAAAAGTCTATACAGTAGAGTTTGTGAGCTTGCGACGCTGCGCTCCGTGACTATTTTAATTTCACAAACTTTGCCTTTTAGATTAAATATCACTTTAATGTCGATATTTAATTTTATAGTATTGTTATCTTATCGTACGATCCATGTATTCTTTTTATAAAAGTTTAGCTGTCCCGTAGCAACGCATGGGCACGCTACTTTAATGCATATTTGTTAGTTTGGAATGTTAGCTTTCTTTGACATATTACCATTTGCAGGGCCTTGGAAGCAGTAGCTATCAAATTCATACAGTTTGTTCAAACATACGGTGTATCATGTGGCCATTTAAATAGACAATTTCATCCAATACTGTTGATCAGAATGTAGTTTAATTTCAGACAAGCACGATCACTAGCGGCTCAGCAAAACTGCTTTAGTTTGTTTTAGTTCTTAAGACAATTCAATTTTCAATTCTGGATTTTTTATTATTATTTTCTAACTTGTTGGAGCTATGGATCTTGCGGATGTAATTTGTCTATTGCATATGAACCTTGGTGGATGTAATTTGTAATCCATTTATTTAGGCATTGTTATGAGTAGGAGTGAAAAAGGTACGGATATTTTTTGACTATATTCGAGACCGAATCCGTTTAGAGGGTTTAGATCTATTCGTATCCGAGTTCGGATATTCAACATCGGTAATTATTGGTGCACGAAAGAAATGGATATCGGAGATTTCTTCCGACTAATATAAAACATTATCTTAGCCACATCACGAAAAAGATCTATAAAGTAGAGTTTGTGAGCCTGCGACGCCGCGCTCTCCGTAACTTGTGTTAATTTCACACACTTTGTTTTTTGATTAAATGTCACTTTAACATTGATATTTAATTTTTATAGTATTGTTATATTATCGTATGATCCCTGTATTTTTAGTATAAAATGTTAGCTATTTCGTAGTAACGCACGGGTACGCTACCAGTTCAGTTATAAAAAGTATATATGTATTATAGAAACCGCCTAATAAGAAGGTTATAGGAATACTCCGTATTGTACAATAGCCATGAAAGTTAGATGTACTCGTGTTCTGCTTAATTAATTGCATGGCAAGTTAACTACCGACAGTTTGTACACAAACAGGCAAAGCGACAGCAAAGGTTATCCACTTCGATCAGCATACGTCTCATTGTAGCGATCCTGTTCTCTTTGGTGCCATCGTTTTCAGTCGAAAAGAGAACTTGCCCTGTTTAGTTTCATGCTAAAATGCTAAATTTTTAAGATTTTTCGTTATATCGAATCTTTGGACGCATGTCATAAAGCATTAAATATAAATAAAAAATAAAACTAATTACACAATTTAGACGAAATCCACGAGACAAATCTTTTAAGCCTGATTAGACTATGATTGGACACTAATTGCCAAATAACAACGAACACGCTACAATATTATTTTGCCAAAAATTTCAGCAACCAAACTGGCCCTTGCTGTTGGAAAAAGACCTCGTCCGGCAAGACAGACTGCCTGCCTGGCATCGTTAGCCGGATGGATTTGCATTTCAGTTTCACCTTGAGACACAAGGCAGCCGCATTCCAAAAGGGTTCTTCCCGATCGCAAACGTATCCGCTCCGCTGGTCCTAAGCTGACCGAGCAAGAAACCTTCGCTGCAACGAGCTGGTTCGGCACGGTTCTTCTGTTCTTCCTGTGCTCCCAGATTGTAAAGCATCCATCGTTGAATTTCGTCCACAGACAAAGTCAATAAAAGGTTGGAACGCACTGCATATTGCCAGTAATATAAGTCCAATTATGACTCGCACTCTTTCGTACTTGAACTTTCGGTGTGGTGACTGGTGACAGAGTTAGAATTCTCCAAGATTTTGGCACCTACAAGCTAAGTCGCGAAAACAACAGGTGCCGCCGATGGAAGAGCGCTCAAGTGAGACGCAAAATTAAGGCACGTGACCAGAAGAAGCAAGTAGCGCGGCACGACACGGCACGGCAGCGGGGGAGCAAGCTCCCCGGTGGGAGTCACCGACGGCGATCAACGGACAATGACCTGACCGCAAGCCTGTTGTCGTGATGTCGTAGCCGACCTCCATCGACCCCGCGGTAGGGCGAGACGCGGACTGCGGACGCCACCATGCCAGGGCACGAGCACGGCAAAATGCGGGGGGCGGACCACGCGGCCGCGGAGAGCAGTGGCTTTCAGGGCCAGCTAGCCAGCCCTTCAGTGAACTGCCAGATCGATGCCCTGCGAAGAACCTGCCTTGCCAAAAGACGAGCGAGCCGCGCTCAGAACACACGGCTCTGATAAATGCCTAGAGCACGATGACCAGCAGCCAGCTCGTCACACGTTGACACGTCTAGTACTGTCTTTGCGCGTACAGCAGCCAGCTCGCGTACAGTACTCTGCTCGCTTTAAACGCCAACAAGATGCCACTGGTACTGGGAAGCGAACGGCAGCACGCTCTTCACGCCGTCGACAGTGCGCGGGATCTTAAGTGGAATGATTGAGGAATCGATGGTCTGGAAGCAAACAAATCTGTCATGGGTACCGCAGAAGATGTAATAACAATTGTACTGCTGCCTTTAAAAAAAACAATTGTACTGCTAGTCTACTACCCTGCCACTGCTGCTACAGTACCATGCAATAGAGCCTGCGTTCTAAATTTCTAAGCTTCTTAGGGTAAACATAACAGCCACCGCCAGATGGATCGTCCAACATTGATCGGCCATCAGTAACCTATCAGCCTAGTGGATTTTTCCTTTGCCCCTTTGTTGCTCCAACCATTTCCATAACAAAATGCACTGCTCTACCGAGAGCCACACCTAGGGGTCGTCGAACGAGACCTGAGGTCGCGACCCTCCCCGGGCCCCGGGACGCTGCTGCGCCGACGAGTCCATCAGGCCCTTGAGCATCTTCAGAACTTCGTCGGGGTCTTCCAGGTAGTACTTCGCCAGGCTTGGCTTGTTGCCGACGGTGCAGGCGAATGTCTCGGCAGCCTCTGGGAACGCGGACTTGCTGGAAGGCGCACTGATAGCCTTGAACATGTCTTCGTCAGACCCGTCGTCGCCAACACATAGGATGAAAGCTGGCATTCTTCCGCGAGCCCCCAAGGCGGCAATGAGCCTCTGCACGGCGGTTCCTTTGCCCACCTCCTTCACAAGAATATGATAACTTGTTGTGAGGCAAAAGGAAATAAGTGATAATGCCAAAACAAAGAAGACGTTCATCGAGATTAACTTGGCATATTGGTAAACAAAGATAGCTGGAAGTCATAAACATAGGCAATAGAGTCATCCTAGGTAAGCATGGCTTATGAAAATGTTTCAGCTAATACACATGACAAAATGTTAAACTATGCGCTAAAGAGATATGGTAGCTGAACAGCTGAACAGCTGAACATGAGCTGAACATGAGCTGGTCTGAAAGCTACACTTGATTGATCACGATGGCTACCGTTGGAATTTCGAGGCATGAGCTGTTTAGTCAAAATTTTGCAAAAAGCATCACACGAATCTTTGAAGCATTAAATATAAATAAAAAATCTAATTACGATGGCTAATCTTTTAAGCCTAATTAGGATGATTTCTAATTATCAAATAACAACAAAAGTGCTTGTTCATTTTCAAAAAAATCAACTAAACACTACCTTGGCTTGTGTATACGAAAGCGAAATAGCGACCCACGCAGAGGATGCAGAGCAAGATAGGATGCGGCCCCTTTTCCAGAACAATTAAGCAGTAGCTATCTAAAAGGCTAGCACGTGAGATTCTTAGATGTTGCCGTACCTGAGGATTAACCTCCACAATCTGGTGGCCGCTTTTCACAGATACAGGCTCTTTGGCAAGCACGTCGCGCAGGTGGTCCTGGAGCTCTTTGGCCTGACTTGATCCGAAAACTGGATCAGCTTCCTCGTAGTGCCAGACTAGTGCTGTTTCTTTAGCCTCAATGTATGACCCGTCAGTCACATCGCAGTAATGCTTCATTACTGGCTCAACAATGTTTTTCCAATCATAGTCTACCAACATGTTGGGTGACTCCCATGGAGAATCCCTGCTCCACCTGATAAACAAAACAGAGTTACTTCAAGAAGCAGCCAATCTTTATTCCTGAATGCTCTTGCAGCCACATGCACGTAATCATCAAGTAATAGTAGAATACAGAGAAAATGGAACTGTCATCGTATAGGAAGCACTCGTCATACTATATTGCGACTGTATAGTAGAAGTTTGGATTATAGAACTCTGAACAAGTATACTACTTTATGGAGTAACGACAGTCAACATCATCAACTCACTACCAACCTTTCTGGTGTACTACAAAAAGCAATTCCTATATGGATAGTCAGATTTATTTATTTTCAAGAACTGCATGTATGATCAACGCGTATGTCAGAAGTACAATGGTGAACTAATTCAATACCATTAGCAACAAAATTTCTATTCAGCAGTTAGTCAAACAGAATAGTGATGGAAGAGGAATTAGCAAACATCAAACACTGAAAACTGCCCACACCTAGGGGTCCTAGGCCATCTTATCCACCTGTCACTTATCAAATGCTAAGAGCAATGCAGCATTCCATTTCACAAACCAAAGACCCAACTAAGGACATGCCATGGGAACATGGGAGAGGAAACCGTGTTTACCTTGTGAAGTAAGCCGTGCTCTGCAGAGATCCCCAGACTTTCACAGGGCGCAAGCCATCGAGCCAGTTCATCCTTCCTCCGCCCACTGACTACAAAGACCGTATTCTTCGGATCTGAGCACAGTTCATTCAGGACGCTAATCAATTCCTGGCTAGGATATCTGGTGTTCAACCCCTGAGGAATCATTACTGTGCCATCATAGTCCAGTAAGATGAGCCTGTTGCCGGTGCGGTGGTACGATGGATTAATGTGCTCAGGTGAAAGCTTCTGGAAGTTGGGACCAAGCACGACGATGCGGAAGTTCATGGCGAGCCCCACCCTCAAGAAGTTCATCGACGCGTGATCCTTGCCCGCCCTCTGCAGGTCCTGGTCGAGCGACCTCCCCCAGTAGGCAATGTCGTGCGTGACAACATACCTGTAGTGCTTCTCCTGCCGCATCTGCTTGTCGCGCCCATTGAACCTCAGCGCCGAGCTCATCCCCTCGGCGACGTCGTCCACGTTCCACGGGTTGACGTGAACCGCGCCGCCCAGGGACGTGGAGCACCCGACGAACTCGGACAGGACGATGGCGCTCTCCCTCGGCGCGCCCGCCACGCCGCTGGAGATCGGACCCTCCTGCCGGCACACGGTGTAGATGTACGGTATCCTGTTCAGGCCGTCGCGCACGGCGGTGACGATGCAGATGTCTGCCGAGGCGTAGAACGCCAGCTTCTCGTGCATCCTCAAGGGGTCGTCGATCATCACGATCGGGTCATACCCCGGCTTGGCGAAGCGGGCATTGATCCGATCCCGCGTCGCCTGCACCTCCGCGCGAACCGTGTCGGTGTCGCGCCCAGGACTCCGCACCGGGTTGTTGATCTGCACGAGCACCACCCGGCCACGCAGCTCCGGCCGCGACTCTAGCAGCCTCTCCATGGCCAAGAGCTTGAGGTCAATCCCCTTGAACAGATCAACATCGTCCACCCCGAGCAACACCTGACGACCGGTGAACCTCGTGGCGACCTCCTTGGCCTTTGCTGCCGTCTCGGGCGATGACAACACCTCACGTAGCTGGCCTATGTCGACACCGACGGAGAGGATCTTCACGACAACATTGCGGCCGAAGTAGTCGATGCCGATGTAGCCTCGATGGGTGTGGCTGGAGACGCCGAGGAGCCTGGCGCAGGCGGAAAGGAAGTGGCGGGCGTAATCGTAGTTATGGAAGCCCACAAGGTCGGCGTTGAGGAGGGCGCGGAGGAGCTCCTCGCGAACCGGGATGGCACGGAAGAGCTCCGAGGTGGGGAAAGGCGAGTGGAGGAAGAAGGCTATGCGGGCGCGCGGCGACTTGTGGCGGAGGATGGTGGGGAGGGCCAAGAGATGGTAGTCGTGGATGAAAACGAGGTCCTCATCGGGGTTGAGATGCTCGAACACGCGGTCGGCGTACTGCGTGTTGACGGTGAGGTAGGCGCGGTAGAGGTCCGGGTTGAAGCTCAGTCCGCCACCGCTGGAGGAGGGCGTGAACGGCAGGAGGTAGTGGAGCATCGGCCACAGGTAGTGCTTGCAGAATCCGTCGTAGAAGTTCGTGTGGAGGCTGGGCTCCAGGAACACCGGGCTGCAGACGAAGCGCGCGAGGAGATCGGCCGCGAGCTCCTCGGACGCAGGGATCGACGCGGCGGCGGAGGGGAGCGCGCCGACGAAGACCACGGGGCGGGGGAGACCGCGGGCGAACTGGAGCGGGAGCGAGTCGGCGTCGAGAAAGAAATCGAAGCCGTGCGGCGCGTCCGGATTGGGTTCCGCACGGAGGGGGAGGCGGTGGGTGACCACGATGCGGCGCGCCTCCACCGGAAACGACGAGAGCTCGCCATCGGAGGCGGAGGGGGAGGCCATCGCAGCAGCCTGCACAGCACAGGGGCCCGGCCGTTTAGTTTGGGTTCTTGTCATCTTGTGGGAATAGGGGGATGGGGTCGTGGTATTTGCCAGCCGGCCGCCTCGAGAAGGAAGCGCTGGACGGGCAAGCTGGCAATGGCAACTCATTTTTCCAGCCTGGTCCTCCAATTTTCTTGTTTTTCGAAAACCCCAATTTTCTTGTTTTTTCAAAAAAACGAGAGACTGATTTGGCAATGCAAGCAACAACATGTGTTCGTGGGCATAAATGGCGGCGTGGAGGGGGAGGAGGAGAAGAAGTTCAACGACTGCCTGGAGTTCGAGGTGTGCAACCAGGACATGCTTAAGATGGAGCTGTGCAATAAGTTTTTTTTTTTTTTTGAGGACGCATGCCTGTACAATGACCAGTGCCAGTTTGCGCATGGCATCGGTGAGCTCCGCCCTGTTCGCTTTTTTTTGATTCGACCGCAACTCGTATAGGACGTCGACGCTTGACGCGGAAGCAGGCCCAGCTGTAGCTCGTCTCGGACGCGCACACGTGACGCGGAAGCGGGCCCGAATGTATTTGGTTGACGTGGAAGTAGGCCCGGATGTATTTGGTAGCACCCGTTATATGATGACTTTAGAGTGTATTTAGACTTAGATCGATAGAGATAGAGATAGAGATAGAGATAGACATACCAGTTATTTCAGCGGACTATATTTCTTTATGTAATATAATAGGGCTCTAATAGAAAAAAAAACGTTTGCTTAATGTTCACGTGTTCTCACCAACATCCATTGAATTCTTTACAGGATTTTGCTGGCACAATGCTATGTCGTATTGCATAGAGAATACAGGCATATGTTTGTTGTGAGGCTTTTCTTCCTTTGTGATATGGCTATCCCATTCAAATTGGCAAGATTATGGTCAATATTAAAAATATACCAACTCAGATATAATCTAGCTCAACCCAACTATATAATAATAAAGAGATAATGGGCGGTGAAAAGAGAGTTTTGCCCGGACCTTATCCCTTCCCATTAATGTAGGGATATTATGGACAATTTAATTTAAATCATTTATAATACTGGATTCAAATAGCCACATGTTAGTTTTTAACTATACAAATTCTATAATCCATAGCCATAGCCTTTATCCCATCCAAATAAAGCCCTTAAACTCTCAAAAAATATCATCATTATGTAAAGTTGCTCACAAAAGCTTTCACAATGGGTTAGGAATGATTTTTTTTTTTGTTTTCCGTAGTGCATATCAACATTGCCAAGAAAATCATGATAAACTACCTAGTATGCCAGCTCACTTTTTTTTGCCTCACAGTGTGTAATGGATGAAGAATTTTTGCTCCTTTAGCCATGCATGCCTACCAGAATAGCCAATCCATCAATGTTAAAAACAATAAGGTGGCTTGTAGTTTTTTTCGATGAAAAATAGTAGATACGATGTCCCGTGTTCGTAGCACCAATTGTATTTTCTTAAGGGCGTGCTTGGTTCTCTTCTCTGCGTAGCCTGTATCGGGTCTAACATCCAGATCATGCAGGCCAGTGGTGTTTGGTTGCCTTGCTTTGCAGCGCTAGGATCCCGACAACAGTTGTTTAATTTGATTGCATGTTCTCTGGCTTGTAGCTGCGCTCACTATCTCTCAGTCGAGTCACGAGGCGCGCGCTCGCACCCACGGGAGCTAGGCTCCCAAGAAACGAAAACAAGATATGTTTCCTAGGAACCAAGCTCAGCGACGCTTTTTGCATGCGGTTAGCCAGGCTCTGCAGCTCGCCTAGCCGACCAAAAGGTCCTCTCAATGCTCTAACGCCCACACTGGATATGGACCGAACTGTCTCACGACGTTCTAAACCTAGCTCACGTACCGCATTAATGGGCAAACAGCCCAACCCTTGGAACCACCTGCAGCTCCAAGTAGCGAAGAGCCGACATCGAGGTGCCAAACCTAATCCCGCCAATCCTGCAACACGTGAGCCATGCCCACTCGAAATCAGCAAACCAAATGCGCTCTTATGTGTATTCTAAGTTGTGAATTGAGATACTCATAGACATCCCAAACTTCACCAAGTCTCTTTGGATGTTTTCATTTCTGTGTGTGTGGTGGAGGACTGGTGGTGTGGGTGTTTACGTAACGTGACTACGTGAGACATATTGGCATGTAGTGGCATTGTTTATAAACAACTCATGCAAACATCTTACGTTGCGCACATTTTCATGGTACCTTAAAATATGACGCATATCTAATACAGAAACAAACTTATTTTGAGTGACAATATATCTCCATAGTCAATGCTCACGTCACCCATAGAACATTGCAAAATATTCTATTGATATTGTATAAGGATGCATAACTGGATACTACACCTGAAAGGCATGATGTCGGTACGAACTTGGTGCTATATAGGCATGTATGTTCTCGTATGACACAAACCATGCAATGGTAGGTCTATTTTTTATGCTTTCTAGCATTATTACAACACATGGCCAACGAACTCCTCTGCAGGAATATGGCTACTAATGGAGCACGTCACATGAGAGGTCAATAGATGATCGAAATTTTGTGTGTATTGTCCCTTGCAATTTCAATTGGTTATAATTGACAATTCCCCCACCCCACAACAAAAACTATTAGTGTAATAAATTTACATCCCTCACTATGTGACAATATTTGTAGATGAAAAAAATAATGCAACGTATCAGCTTAGGCTTTCAACCTAAATAAAAGAGAATAAAGCATGCATATAGGCACCTTATCTTTAGTCATCTTGTGTTTTATTGGTACAACTTGGGCCAACATTCTTCTCAAAAGGAAAACTTTGCCCAACATTTAAATGGGGGCTAGGCTTGCATTCGGACGTTCAGGACGAATGCGCACGTCCAGACGCCCATGCCTGCTGCTGCACTAGCTCGCTCGCCCACGTGCGCCTGCTACTTTATGCTCTGCTGCACGCGCTTATCTCGCTCGCCCGCACGCACGCCGCTGCCGCCTCGCACCGCGCTTGCTGCTGCGCTCGCTTCTGCTGCACGCGCTTGTTGCTGCCTGCTCTGTTGTTGCGCTTTTCATATCGCAGGACCGCCTGCGCTCGATACGTATCGCGCACACTAGGGACCGCCTACGTCTGCTCATGAAACACTTACAACATGAAAATGCCTTTTGCAACATACGTCTGAAGTAGATGAAATATTTGGAACATATGCTTGCAACATATGTGTATAGCCACTGCAACATATGAAACATCGAGAGAAAAATACTTGCAACATACGTTTGAAGTAAATGAAACATTGTGAATAGACACTTGCAACATACATGTATAGTCATTGCAACATATGCAACATCGTGATCTACTTTTGCAACATCCATATGAAACACTAGCAACATACCTCTGGAACATCTGAAATACTTAAAACATACGTTTACAACATGCGCCTTCAGTGCAACATGGGCAGATGACGCGGCGAACTGGCACGGTGGAGGATTCTCTGCGATACGGCTGCGGCAGGCGGGGCGTGTAACGCCCGAGAGCGAGCAATGGCGCGGGCACGAGCAAACATCTGTGCCAGAGCGAGCAATGGCGCGTGGTCTGGGGAGGGTGTGGTGGTGGGGGGGGCGTCGAATGCCCGCTTAGTAGCATAACCGTTTAAATGGAGTTAAGTGCAACATAAAGAAGGACAAATTTCTAGTTTCACATCAGTTGCAGGGTGTCCATATAATTGTGTCTAGAGAATGGAATGTGGGTTATCCACAACAGAATATGGAATTACGCAACTGGCCTCGAACAGTGGACCAAGCTCAACAACAAACACGTGCACCCAGCAGTTTGCCTTCGATTCATTTCTTCTTCTCCCCTCGTCTTTTTACTACGCTTGCTAAGCATGATCACCGGATGATTTTATTCACACGCAAGGGAGAAGGAACCCTTTCATTTGTTCCTGTAAAAAAGGCTGTGACGATCTCAGCGTTTTCTTTGTTTGTCAGGAAACTGTCAAAAAGTGAAATTTGGTGTTGTACTGTGTTTTTTCATAAAACATAATAAATTTCAAGTGTGTACGTCTATTTTTTTTACGACGAAAAAAGAATTATATTAGATAATAGTTGGGTACATGAACACATTACAAGCACTCTAAATTACATAAATATCCAGAAACTGATTTTCATCTAAATTGTACCCACACTGTGAATAGCTCCAGATCTCAAAACCAAACATGTACGACGCTTTTGCAGTATGGATGACCGTACAGGCAAACACTCGGCAAAAGGCCTGAGAACAAATGCCCAATGAACGACGGCCAACATTCATGTAGCCGGAGTTGAGAAACTTCTTTTTTCTCGATATCTCCCTTCTTCTTTCTGCTATCGAAGAACGAGGAAGACTAATCTGAAATTTATTCTCCCTAGTCTTTTATTGTGGTCGGATCTAACCACGATAAAACGGACACACTTAAAGATTTCGCAAATATCGTTGCATAATATGGGAGCTTATCCGCCGATGAAGATTTTCAATAAATCGGGTAGGTTGTGGACGAGACTTCAGACTTTTGAGAGATCAGGAGGGCACAATAAAGATCCACTACCTATATCTCATCCAAAAGAAATTAAGATATCTGTGCGGACGGTCATAGAAGGAAGTGTTGATTAGGTCCAATTTCCATGTATATTCTTTTTTCGTACGGAATATGCTAGTATATCTTTTTTTGTTTGTGAAAAATCATGCTAGAATGAGCAGGTTTTAATCTCTCGTCTTGTGTCGGGACATATATGGAAACTTCAGAGGTAGAAAGGACGAACTTGCCGCTGTTAGACCTCATCAACGAGCGGTCGTTCTCCGTCCTACAAAAAGGGAAATTTCCGGTGTCTTTCGCCTGTCTGGGATTGGATGGAATGATGATTTTTTATCTGATCTTGGACCATCATCTACTTTTAGCCGGACACACGTAGCTGGGTTCAGATGTCGTGAATCTATTTTCGGGAAGGAGGTGCCCACATCGTTCTCTGAACTTGTGA